TGCCAGCTCGGCGTCCCGGCGGTGCCGGCATCCGCGTTGCACTGAGCATCGCTGCGCGGTGGCAAAGCAGCGTCTCGCCCAGCCGGTGCCGGTGCCCTCCCGCTTATATCGGTGCGTGGACACACGGCGGGCGCCTGTTGCACGGTAGAGCTACCCCAAATACCGGCGCCGTGCGTGAACGCCGTAGTCCAACTGTGGTGTAGAGAGGTGTCCGAGTGTGGAGACACCATCAGATGGCACTGGGAGACCGTCTCCTGCTACAGGGCACGGGACAAGAGCAATGCAGCGCCTTGGAAGTTTATTTCCGAGGTTTGGGGAGCGGTGACCGGTGTGGTTCTTCTCCCGGAGTCTCCACAAGTGAGAAGGGAAAGGAGGCGGGGGAAGGAGGAAGGAGGGGTAAAGCAGAAATACCATCAGTTGTCGTCCACGCAGTCCGACTCACGCACGCACCGGTGTCTGCGTTTTGCTATCCTGAGCTGGAAAATAATGCGCGTACTCCTGGCGCCTCATTTACTTCTCTGTTTGAGGAGGTGATGCTCCTCACGTGTCCCTGACAGCCTTCCTTTGCCTACAGGCTGACGCTTCATTTGCAGCTACGCTTAGAAAGCGCCGTTTAAAGCAAAGTAACGTTAGAGCCAGTGAAAATTTTAACCCGTTTATTTCTTTCCCACTCTCCCCAGTAACGCTGCAGGCAAGATGGCTATGACAAGACTGTACAAAATGGATGATGGAGGCAACTATGCGACTAACTGCTTCCCTGCCAGGAACATCTTGTGCGCAAGCAAAGAAGGTGACACTTCTTCGCTGCTGGTGAAGTCTCCCGGCAGAATAATGTCGTGTCCATAGGGGCAGGTCCACCATCCACCCTGTTGTTGGGCTAGATAGAGGGTACATTCAGCTGCGGTTTCTTGTGTCAACACCACAGCTGATAACACAGATAACAGTTGATAACAGAACTTAAAACAGCGCCCAGAAAGTCTTAAAATAATTTAAAACTTCCTTGAAATGAAGAGGGCAGGATGTCTAGGGCACCCATTAAATGAGGGCTCCAGCAGGCATCTCTGCACGATGGGAAGCTTCAGGCAGGCACGTGGACAGCACAGTGCGGTTCTCCAGCAGCTATTCTGAGCTGGAGCTTCTCCTTTTTCTCTGGGAGAAATGAGATGTGACTCTGAGAGTCACATCTGTGAAATGCTTAGAAATGGCAGAAATGTCTTCTAACGTTTGAGAAGTGGCGGAGAGGACCACTAGGCTGGTCAGGGGTCTGGAGCGCAGGACCTTCTAGGAGAGGTTGAGGGTGCTGAGCTTGTTTTTTATCTGGCCAAGAGGAGTCCGAGGGGAGATTGTGGCTTTACAGCTACCTGAAGGACAGCTACAAACTCTTAACAGTGGCAGATGGCCAAAAATTTCACCTTGGGAGGTTTAGGTTGGACGTTAGGAGGAACTTCTTCGCTGGGAGGATGTGCAGCTCTGGGCCCGGTTACCCTGGGAGGTGATGGAATTGCTAGACAAAGCCAAGACTGACTGATCGAACGTTGCTGATGGTCCGGCTTTGAGTGGGAGGTTGGATTGGAGATCTCCAGAAGGCTCTTCCAGCCCACATTTCCATGTCTGCAACCTATGGAGTTCCCAGCAGGAGCAGGGCAGTGATCGTGCCCCTGTACTCGGCCCTGGTGAGGCCGCACCTCGAATACTGTGTTCAGTTTTGGGCCCCTCACTCCAAGAAGGACGTCGAGGGGCTGGAGCGTGTCCAGAGAAGGGCAACGAGGCTGGTGAGGGGTCTGGAGAACAAGTCTGCTGAGGAGCGGCTGAGGGAACTGGGGTTGTTCAGCCTGGAGAAAAGGAGGCTGAGGGGAGACCTCATGGCTCTCTACAACCACCTGAAAGGAGGTTGTAGCGAGGGGGGGTCGGTCTCTTCTCCCAAGTAACAAGCGATAGGACGAGAGGAAACGGCCTCAAGTTGTGCCAGGGGAGGTTTAGGTTGGATGTGAGGAAAAATGTCTTTACTGAAAGAGTGGTTAAAGATTGGGACAGGCTGCCCAGGGAAGTGGTGGAGTCCCCATCCCTGGAGGTATTTAAAAGACGTGTAGATGCGGCGCTGAGGGACATGGTTTAGTGGGCATGGTGGTGTTGGGTTGACGGTTGGACTCGATGACCTTGGAGGTCTCTTCCAACCTTAATGATTCTATGATTTTATGATTCTATGGCTCCATTAGCATCTATAAAGTAGCATGTTTCTCCTCTTCCATGGCTCTGGCTGTAGCTTTAATGTTCCTATCTTAAATTCATGGTCACTGAACATTTTATACGTCAGTATTTCCCCGTATAGGGGATTTTAAAATGATGGATTTCACTGCCGGGCTGAAACACCAGGCAGAGTGCAACTGCTTTGAGAAGGGCACATTCGGAGGGTTGCGTGCTCACCTTGCCATCTCCTCTGCCTTGGTCCATCGTCGTGCCAGGGTCTGGGCGCTGGGTGCTGGCACGCAGAGCTACCCCGAGGGCTTGGACTGAGAAGGGGACCACTGGGAAGACACCACAGCAGAGGAGAAAGCCCCCGGAGTCTGCCTCCATGGAAGAAAATAATGAAGGCAGTGTCCTAGATGAGCCATTTCTGGTGAGTGCAGATTTCCTCTGTTATTGCCTAAACTTTCTGATAGCGCTTTGACGAGCTGGGGAGATCCTGCTGGTGGACGGACTCTGTAGCTGCCTCTCCCTCCTCATCTCGGTGCCACCTTCTCCCCCCTTCCCACGATCCAAGGCGCCGGGCGCACCCCTCACCTGGGGACAGCTGAGGTCCGGTTTTGGGGCTCGGGTCCCAGGACACGACGTACAGGATTGCTGTAGGACGAACTATTTGTGGTTTGTTTTGTTTTGTTTTGTTTTTTTCCCTAGATGAAGCACCACTGTTTGAAGAACCCCTCTGACCTGTGCTCTGTGAACATAAGCAGCCAAAATCTGGTCTCTGTGAGTATCAGAGACTCAAGAAGTATTAGGGAACTGCCTTAAAAGTTGAAAACTTTACCAGGTTAGCACACGAGTGTCCAGAGATCAGAGAAGACACACGTTAGAAGCAGGCATATTTCCTGCACAGGAAGGTGAGCCGGCCAGCTGTGAACAGGCTTGGAGGATTTGTCCTACAAACTTTCGGATCGTGTCTTCATAACCGAATTAACTTGGCCTTCTTCGGTTGTAGACCCTTCCCCACTCACATCTCCTCGCAAAAGGCTGTTCTTTGGGTTTAGGGATGTTTATCTCAACTATGGTAGGAGTTCAACTTCAGCTTGAGAAGTGACTTTTATTTGGGTTCATGACTAACTTGCAAATGAGCTGAGGTGCTGATAGGTTTCTAGTGTCTTTTTAGGGTTCCCTCCTGGCGCTGTGAAGGACGGATGTACTAAATTGTAGGGTGGCTGCGTTTGCTGGGTCACACGTAGGTACGAGATGACCCAGGAGCCCTGCGGACACACGCAGGGGAGCAAGGTCAGCAGTGAGGACACAGGGGGGGCTTTGCTTTGGGGCTCAACTAGTCCAGGTCTTCTGGATGTCGGTCACTGAGGCAGCTGTGCATGAAACAAATATTTTCAGAGGAGTGCTCTCCGTAGCCAGAAAAACAAAGGAAGACCTAATTATGGGAAATGCTATGATTTAGGCATTCTGAGAAAAGGAGACATCCAGCTGTTTTAGATCAGTTTAGGCCTGGAGCGGAATGATTATTTTCTTCTGTATTTTTCAGGCTAAAGAAGAAGATTTTGAGAAATTTGATGGCGTTGCTTTTATAAATGCTGCTGAGAACCTGCTGACACTAGGTAAGGGATTGCATTACCAAAAAATAGACGCCGCTTTTCAATCCGGGGAAGCTTACGCTCGTCTGAACACAGGTCTAGAGCTTTACAAAGAGGTTTAAGATACACAGGCAGCACTTCTTTGCAGAATTGCTTCCTTCCTGTTACTGAGCTGAAATCCTTGCACTAATTCCCTTTATTGTAACAATAATTGTGTGCCACTGTGGTATCCTTTTCATTATTAGAAAACAAAGCTCTTTACAAAGAAAATCCCCATTTAATATATAGAAGCATGGAATAATGAAATGACTCGTCCCAAAGGCTCAGAAGGTTAACGGTAGAGCTGGGAGGTGAATCCAAATCCGGTGTCATGGGCTCAGTTAATTTGAAGAAGAAAAAAGGAAATCTGTTTATAACTGGTAAAATATATAAGCTACATGTGCCATCAGTGGCTTCAAGCGATAATCCCATTTGGGGTGGGAGCAAATGCGTGAAAGAAAACCAGATGTCTGGTTGGGGCATCATGTATTGTACGGACAACCATCTAACTGAGCTGGCATTTTCTTTCAAACGTGCCCACTGATAATACTAGTGCTCTCGTTCTGGCTGGTTTTGGTCCGTTCCAGACCTGGGTGACACATGGCTTGTTCTGTTTATACTGTTCCTCACTTGCTGGAGCGTTTCCTTTTCCACCCTTGCAGAGCCGTTTCGGAAGTTTCCAGGACTGCGGGAACTGGAACTTTCCTTGAACGGACTAAGAAATCTGAAAATCACGCCTGGAGACTTCCTGCATTTGGAAGTAAGATGAGGGGGATCTGAGACCTTATTCATCTCCTCCCAACCATCACGCTGAAGCCTCCACATAGCGTTGACGTGTGTCCCTGCAGTGTGAGTTCTCTGAAACTGCAGGGTCATTCTCTCTTCCTGCTTCCTTGTGACTCTGGGATGTCCTTTCTCCCGTGTCCCTCAAGGACCTTCACATCTTGCTTCCTCCTGCAGAGCAATCCCTCAGAGATCCCCATTGCTCAGCCCCTTGCCACAGGACTCCTTGTTTCCCCTGTGACGGGCCACCCCCTTTGCTGTAGGATCCTCTCCCTGCAGTCTGTCCATCAGCCATGGCATCCCTCACCTCCCTGATGCTGTGTGGTCCCCGGCAGACCCCCATCCTCCTCCACACTGTGCTCTACCTCTCTGCGTCCCATCCTTCTCCTCTCCAGATAGGTGCCTGCAGTTTCCCCAAATTATGGGCTGCCTTTCTAACACAGCAAAGGGGTCAGTTTGTTTTTTCCTTAAAAAAGAGACAAAGTGGATCCTAAGAACAAGCAACTGTGCCTGGAATGATGGCTCTAGTTGTCCTCTCCATCCAGCTTGGAGTGGGTCTCTGCTACAGAGAGCTCAGGCTCTGGCTTAGCTATACTGACCTTATCTAGGCTTGCTCTCTTTGAGGAGGTGTCCTTGCCTGGATTTCTCGTGCTCTACACACAGTTTCTGATTGCTGCTGGATATACAGTTTTGTCTTAAAAGGCTTCTTTCTTCTTGTGTCATTCAAAGAATTGTTGGTGGCTCAGCTGTCAGCTCTGTACGCTCGGATCCTGCCCTCCCTCCTGCCTGCAGGCTTTGGAAGGTCCCCAAATCCGTGAAGCTCTCCCATGTTTCTCCCATGCACTGTTGGTAACCCGCTCAGGGTTTGACTCAGTGGGCACGTGCCCAGGTGATGGGGAACCAAATTTCCAAGGCTCATGAGGCCAGGGTTGACCCTGTCCATCTCTGTGTGCCTCTGTGTGAGCAGCTCTGTCACTGGCATCAGCTACGAAAGGTGGGGATGGGACCCACCTAAACTCCCCTTCCTGCCATGCCCCCGTGGATCCCAGCTTCATCCATGACCAATGTCCGGGATCTTGTTTGCTGACAGCCTGGAGAAACAGGCTTTCCAAGGCTGATTGGAAATTCATATTCAATTGATTTGGAAAGTGCTTTGAGCTCCTCCTGGGGAAAGGCAGCCTATTGTAATGCCCCGGCAAAGCTATTCCTGTTCACGTATCCTAGAAACCCTCGTCCTTGCTCCCAGCAGGGTCTGCTCCCTGGCTTTCTCCTGGCTGTTGTCCCGTGAGTCACACGTGTGAGTGGGGGACCAGCCCTGAGCACTTCTGCCAAGGTGCAGAGTCCCACCGCTGCAAGTGAAATCCCTGCAAGTCAGAGATGCTCACAGCATCACTCTAGGGCGGGTGGTGGCATGACTGAAAGTCTCCTGTAAATATTTAATATCTACCTGGGGAAAGCCAACAGAGATTGTTCTTTGCTCCGGGGAATTGTTTCTTCTGTTTCCTTCAGGATCTGGATCTCTCCTACAATAACTTGTCCCCCCAGGACATTTGGACATTGGGAGATTTGTCCCAGCTCAAAGTCCTTCGCTTGACGGCCAACGGGCTTCGGTCTCTGCCTCCGGACCTGGCAGGCTCGTGGGAGTAAGTGCACGCAGCAAGCGGTGCTGCGGCTTGGCGGGGAGCTGCCGGCATGCCAGTGGGATGCGCCGGGCGGGCAGGCAGGGTGATGGACGGAGCAGTGGGGATGGCAAGGCAGCGGTGAACGGCGAGGGTGGGCAGCCTGGGATTTATCAGTCCGGGCAGCAGAGCTCTTCCCTTGCAAACTGGAAGATCAAATCACCTCACGGTCGGTGCTGGGTGGCGGGGAAGTGTCATCCCAGCTCAGCCCCAGATCACCCAGGGCATCTGCTGTCACCAGCAGCTAGAGAGGAACCTCTGGACAGTGATTCAGCAACCCTGTCGGGTGGCCGAGCCACGTGAGTAGGATGCTATTTATTCGTCGTTAATTAGACCCTTCACGTATAGCTTAGCCACAGTCGCCATGCCGAGGTATCCACCGTTTGCCATTGTCGGAGATAAGACGCTGAGCTAGACGGTCGTTTGGACTGATTCAATTTAGCTGCTTTGAGGTCGGATACAGGTTTTCTATTTAAAGAATGTAAACAGCCCCAGCCCAGTCTCCCAGTGGATAGATCTCCCCCCGGTGACAGCAAATGATGTGTTTTTCACCTGTCTTTGCTCGAGCGTGTTATTAATGAGCCTCTTTGTATCTGCAGCTCTGCTTATTTCAGGTTTCCATCTCTGGAGGTCTTGTCGCTGGATGACAATCGTCTGTCAGACCCGAGCGTCTTTGTGAGTCTGTCTCATCTCTGCAGGTAAGGAGGCACCTGGCAGCAGACGGCTCTGGCTTTTGGGGGCTGGCAGCTGCCTCCATCAGCTGTTGCACAGTAGCAGGCTTAAAATGAAAACCAAAATCTTTGTGATTCACTCGGATACTTCCCTGTTTAGTCTCTCTGGTATTGCAGATGGGACTGAACGGAAGCAAACAGCCTGCTGCAGAGCACAGGCTGGCCAAGCCTGGCAGGTGGCTGGTAATTCAGCTCCTGCCCTGGGTGTTTGCTGATCTCCCGGTCTGATTTGGGAAATGGCAGTTGCTTTCTCCATTTTCCCGTCTTCGCCCCAGATTCATCATTATTTCAGCACAGCAGCGCTAGGAAAGGCTGCGGATCAGCTCCCTCTGTTTAACGTGGGCTTCCGTGATTCAGCTAGAGAGGAGTCACTAGGAAGGGGGGCAGCTCACGTGCCCCTCAGCTGGGCTGTGCTGGGTTTGGGGACAGCGCAGAGACCTTCTGTTGTTCCCCTGGTGCTTCCAGTGCTGCGAACTGGAGGTGGGAATTGGGTCTGGCTTGTTGCCCTGGCTGTGCCAAGACATTCCCGGAGGAAACTGCACGTTGCCCGCAGTGTTTGTGAGAGAGGAGGGGGAGTGGGCGAGGTTTAGGCACGAGACTGCAGGGCTGGAGTGCGGAGGTTTGGGTTTCTGCTCTTCCCTAAGCTGTCTTGTGGCCTTGGGCAAGTGCATTGGTGATGTTATACTTCCGTGGGAATGTGGAACGTTGTTAGGGAATCCCAGTAGGACCGCAGCTCGTCAGGGCCCTGGGTGATTTAATGAACTGCCAGGATGTCTCCTGTCTGTTAAATTCTCATCAAGAGGTGAACTAAGAACTAGGTGACCCTCGGGCTGTGGTTGGGGTTTGGAGAGGAGGGGGAACAGGGCAGCGAGATGCGGGTGTCGCGGATGCCTCCGCACTGCTGCTGGGAAGCTCAGTGAGGAGGCAGGTCGAGGGCCAGCTCCCTGCCCTGCGGGCGCCGGGGCGAACAGATGGCCGGGGGCATGGACCGATAGCAATCGTGGAGTTTCTCACGCATTTCCTCTTCCAATAGCCTGAGGGAGCTGAACCTGGACAGGAACGGGATTTCGGCTGTCCCCTACCTGCGTCAAGCAGAGAACAGGCAGTTCTTCCTCCACCCCGCGCTGGATGGCGACAGCTTCAGGGCAGAGTGGTACAAGTCCCTGAGCAGCCTCTGGCAGCAGCCCCGGCTGCCGCAGCAGGAGAACATGGAGGTGCCAGCAGAGCTGGAAGCGAAGAAAGGACAGCTTGAATATGTCCTGTCACAGAACGACAGGGATCCAGACAGGATGGGTGAGCAGCGCCTGCCTCTCCCTGCCCGCGCTGAAACCGCGGGGTGTTTCAGTGGGAGAGGGCTCAAGTTATGTCAGGGTGAGGATCTGCTGGATGTTTACTAGTGAGTGAAGCAGCGTGACGAAATTAAAACAATGAGGGAGGGATACATGGGACCGTTTTAGACATCTCAGCTAACCTGTACAGTCCCTCTATAATTACTGGGAGCTTACTGGACGTGGTTCACATCTTGCAGACATCTCCCATGGTTCAGACAGGAGTGCCCCTTTCTCTCTCCTGGGCTTCTCCAGGGTAGCTTGCTCCAAAGGAGACATTGCATGCTGGCTGGGAGGAAAACTGGCAAAAATAATAGGGGAAAAAGTCAGGTTGGGAAGTGGATTACTGTGGATCCTGGACAGGCAGAGGGCAGGAAGGTCGTGTGAGTAGGTAGCCCGTGCACAGGTCTGCATTCCTGGGGTAGGTCAGCTCTCCCCTCTGGATGTCCTTACTGAAGCGTGATGCGCACACCATGCTGGGCCACGCGATGGGATGGATCCAGAGGCTGCCTGGTGTCTCCTGTGTGGATTGGGCTGTGATGGAGGCAGCCGGTCGGGCTCCTCCAAGCACTCCTGTCCCCTGGCTCGCTGCAGCAGTCCCTGTTGTTAGGTATTCGTGGAGCAGGCAACAGTGCAACTTCTGGTGCTTGGCCTGGCGGTAGCAGCATGATGTGGGAAAGGCCTCGTGCTCACGGGAGAGACTCCAAACCACGATCTACCTGCGGGGAGCTCCTGGCTGCCCTGAGGCCAGTAGCAGGGTTTCTGCTGTGTTTGAGGGATGTGGACCTCACCTGGACCTCACCTGTGGCCCCAGGACAGCGGGCCAGATCCCCCCCCTCACCTTGGGCACGTCTTGCCATTGAGCCAGATCCTGCCCGATGCTGATTTGCTTTCCCAGGGTAATTCCAACCTTGCCATGGCTGGGGCTGGCCCAGCGCTCGGCTTCGTGTAGAAACCCTCACTTTGCTTGTGTTTCTTTGCAGAGGTCGTTTTTAATTCCGGCTCTCAGGAGCACCCAGCGCGGGTAAGAACCGTTGGCTGATCTGTGATTTGGGGTGTGAGCTCCAAAACTTCCCTTCCCCAAGCCTCTCAAGCTGAGTTTCAATAAGCCCGTGGGTACAGCCGGGGTTCTGGGTCCCTACAAGGCTTGCAGTGGGTATCGTCTCTCATCAGGGAGATCAGGAGCAGATTTTCCCATAACCAAGGGACACTGGAGCTTAAACTTCTATCACTTTCAAATAAAAGCTGGGTTAGTGTTTGCTTGTGACTGTGTGCCCTCCCTGCGGAGGGAAGTGTGTTCTGTGGTTCAGGTGGGGACTGAAGCTCAGGAGCTGGGAGTTCCTTCATCCTTAGCACTGTAATCTTCCCCCCCCGCATTTACCCACATGATGCTCTTCAGAATCAGGTGTTTGAAGCCAAAGACCCTGATTTTTGTTAGAACTTGAGTGTGGGGCAGAGCTTCAGAGACGCTGAGCACTCGCCGCGTGTTCTAGCGTAACACACACGTGCGTGCGCACGCACGCTCCCCGAGAGCGCAGCCGCTTTCCCCCGGGGCTGTGCACGTTTTCAGTGCTGGATGATGGAGTTTGGTGCGTTTGACATGACTCCCTGGAGGGCTCCCACAGTAACGCAGGGGCCAAAGCAAGCTGCCACGAGACAACCTCCGAAGCGGGTCTGAACCAAAAGATTTTCAAATTATAGCTGTGTTTGGGCTCAGGAGGGTGGTATCCTGCCAGTGGAGGTGTCTTCTGCCACCGGAGCCTCTGGAACGGTGTCTCTGCTCACACTCTTCCTCCTCATTTTAAGGTTGTTACCAGGGAGGGAGAACCATCTGCCTCGAAGACTCTGCTGGCTCCCTCCACGCGCAGGGACATTCGTGCTCCCTTTCCTGAACTGAAACGTCTCAGCCTGGCCTTCAACAAGGTGGTTTGGGTCCCGCGGCTCCAGATAGATGTAAAAGTTCAGCTGCCTGAGCTGGGCGTTAGTGGCCTGGGAGACACCCTGGCCTTTAGCTGCCGCTGCAGAAGGGCCCAGCTCTCCCAGGCTCCTGTGTCCATCCGCCAGCCCACGGGGATGTGTCAGATATCCAGGATCTCGGGTGGGACAGGATGCCTATTTAGGCAGCTGAATTGCACCCAGCTTGGCTAAACCCCTGCAAATTCGGGGATTTCGTCAGAGAATATATGAAGGATTGCCCTCCCCCTGGACTGATCCTCTGCTGGAGCTGCCCGGTGGACGGTGATGTCTCATCAAGGACTTTGCTGTTTTAGTGCCAGGTTATAACTGTCCGCTGAGCCACGTCGCGTTCTCAGTGTGCCCCAACGGACAAGTAACGTGCAACAACATTTAAGCTCCTCTTCCTGGTGCTTTTGGCTCCTGCCCAGGGCTTCACTCACACTGCTTCCCAGCCGGGTGAGCTGGCAGTGCCGAGTTACCTCTACTCAGCAAGGGGCATCCCCCTGGGACGTGACGTGGCGGCTCTGCTCGCTTGGGAAGTGAGCTCTGCCGCCGTTCCCTGTGTGTCATCTCCCTGTTTTAGGTCGCTGCCTTGTCGGTGAGATGGTTTCTGGCTGCCGTGCCCTGGCCAGGCTGTGGTTTGGACCACAGGGCGGAGAGGCAGGACTTTTTTCCTGCTCAGAAGAGCTGCAGCTCTTCTGAGCAGGAAAAAAGTCCTGCCTCTCAGCCTTGCAGCTCTTCTGAGCGTTGGAGGCATCAGTCCTCTGGCTCGAGCATGCAAGAGGGAGAAGGGAGCGGCTGCCTCTGCCCTCCATAATCACAGGCAGCAGAGCTGCTGGGCGTCTCTGGTTAAGGGATGCCATCTCCCTCCTCTTCCTCCCCACTGCACATACTTGCCCAGTGCAAGGGTCCCCACGCATCGGAGGAACGCGTTTTGCTGGGAGGGTTGGGATGAAGCTCTACAGCCTCTGGCGCGACTCAGTGCTTAGAGCAAACAGTAAAACATTTTATCTTGCAGATCACAGATGAGACAGCTCTCTTACCGGTGGCTTTCTTCCCGTGCCTGAAGGAGCTGACGTTTCACAACAACCCTCTTACCACCACCCGGAGCGGTACAGTATGAGCCTGGCTCCACGGGAGGACTCCTGCTTTGTCCCTCCTTCGCGGTTAGCTCTCTGGGACAGGGACCACGTTGACTTTCAGTGTTCAGACACTCCTGCCGTGCTGGCCCTGGCCCGGGCCCTCAGGGAGGTGCTTTAATCATTGCTGCTCTCTAAAGAGCGACACAGATAAGCACTGCTCTTGCAAAGGCTGTTGATGCCCTGCTGCTGCTCCCGGCCCCATGGAAATCCGTAACAGCCCATCCGTGCCTGCGGCAGTGCAGTCTCAGGCTGAACTTTGCTCCCAACTAAATGGTGTTTATCCCACAAAGGGCTTGTCTGAAGCTGGTCCAGGGTTTCCTCCTGCAGCAGCTTTCTGCGCAGGGGGGGATAAACCCCAGACGTGCCCACGATCTTGATAAGCAGCGTTTGAAGGTAGCCAGGAGGATGCTGGTGAAATGTTGCAATGGTGCTACCCCCTGCACAAGCTACGTGAAGCCTAGTTAATAAAACAGGTCAGGGATGCTCCTCTGGCCTTGGTGGCAAGTAGCCCAGCCCGATGTATGTCCTCAGGGCTAAAGCGTCTCCCTACAAAACTGGGTGGCTTCTACTCTGGTCCCTGAGCTGAGCCTGGGGTTAGTTGGCGCAGGCCAGAGTGTGCTGCCAGTGAGGGAGCAGGGCGTGAGCTCTCCGCCAACTTGCCTGCAGCTCTGGTGAACCTTGGCCAGCTGCCTCTGCTGACTTGGCTCCTCTGGCACGACCTGGGAATTAAACTTCTCCGACAGAAGAGCCTAGCCGTGGAGAGGTGGCACTTCTCCATCCCCCTCAAAGCCAGCCGCAAGGTAAGGAGGGACACGCCTCTGGAGCGCGGGTTTTTTTCCTGCCTAAGGCAGGGATGAAACCCTTGCTGCAATATTCAGGGCAGGATTGCCCAGGAACCGACTTGCTGGGGAGCAGAGAAAGAGCTGGTGGGACACACGGATCCCAGCGGGGTTGGAAGGATGGAGGGAAGGGTGGGAAGGATTTGGAGGTATTTTGCTCAGGATGAGGCTGGGGAGTCCAACCGCCCCCTTACTGCTGTCCCAGGCAGGGTTTGTCGCTGGGTTTTTGGGTCCTGCCCATCGGCCTTGGCTGGGGGATCCTATGGGACTGAAGCTGCTGCCAGGGTGTCCCTGGAGCTGGGGTTGCCCTGTGTGGTGGGTTGACCCTGGCTGGAGGCCAGGTGCCCACCAAAGCTGCTCTGTCACTCCCCTCCTCAGCTGCACAGGGTAGGGAAAAGAGAATGAAAGGCTCGTGGGTCGAGATAAGGACAGGGGGATCACTCACCAATTACCGTCACGGGCAAAACAGACTCAACTTGAGGAAATTAGTTTAATTTATTACCAATCAAATCAGAGTAGGGTAATGAGAAATAAAACCAAATCTTAAAAACACCTTCCCCCCACCCCCTCCCTTCTTCCCGGGCTTAACTTCACTCCTGATCTTCTCTACCTCCTCCCCTCCAGCGTCGCAGGGGGACAGGGAATGGGGGTGGGGGTCAGTTCATCACACATTGTCTCTGCCGCTCCTTCCTCCTCAGGGGGAGGACTCCTC